TTTGTGGTAAATAACTTTTTTAAACAGTGTACAGTACATCTTTGTGAGTTCTTAAACAACCATATATTGCCGAATACAGTTGAAGTCAGAAATATTAGCCCCCTTTGAATTTTTTTCTTTTTTAATTATTTCCCAAATTAAGTTTAACAGAGCAAGGAAATCTATACATCTGATAATATTTTTTGCTTCTCGAGAAAGTCTTATTTGTTTTATTTCAGCTGGAATAAAAGCAGTTTATAATTTTTTAAAACCCATTTTAAGGTCAAAATTATTAGCCCCTTTAAGATATTCATATTTTCAACAAACCATCGTTATACAATAACTTGCCTAATTACCCTAACCTGACTAGTTAACCTAATTAACCTAGTTAAGCCTTTAAATGTCACTTTAAGCTGTATAGAATTTTCTTGAAAAATATTTAGTAAAATATCATTTACTGTCATCATGGCAAAGATAAAATATATATATGTTATTAGAGATGAGTTATTAAAACAATTATGTTTAGAAATGCGTTGAAAAAATCTTTCTGTTAAACAGAAATTGGGGAAAAAATAAACATGCGGTCTAATAATTCAGGGGGGCTAATAATTCTGACCAACTGAATGTCAAACTAAAATTTCTTTGTATTGAAATCTGCCATTTAGGAAGTACTTCAGCTTTTTGACATCTGATTGAAGCATATTTTGCATAGATTTAGAGGCATCTGTACAAATGTAACATGCATTCGCTGACTGTGCCACAGCAACAGAACCAATACAACGATGACACCATATAATGAATTTGTCGATGCCAATGTCATATCCATATTACAAATTTCACAAGGCTGATGATAAGTCAATAGGACTGATGTGAAGACAAAGTGTCTGTGTTTTGATAAATGACAAGCTGTCCACAGCTGACTGTTCATCTTTACATGCACATGATGCTTACAGCTGTTTGTGCTTTCACTTGAACCTTTGGCACAGACCATACGCTTGGACAAAGGCATCATTGCGATTACAGTTTGTGGGACTAGCCATCATATTTCACTGTACGCAGATAATATCCTCCTTTGTTTAAGTAAACATTCATAATCCATTCCCTAATATTTTATCAATTTTTAACAGTTTTGGTTTGATCTCTGGAGACAGAATAAACTGGACAAAATCTGCACTTCTTCCACTGAACGATACAATAAAAAATATTACATGACCCTTAGGTATTCCTGTCGTTAAACAATTTAAGTATTTGAGTATTATGATTGGCTCTTCATTGCAGCATAGCATTAAGTTAAACTACGAGGACAAACTATCAAAAACTTCACATAACTTAGAAAATTGGTAATCTCTTACAAAATCTCTTAGATCACATGTCTCGATTATTGAATTAAATGTTCTGCTCAGAGTTAACTTAGTGAGTTCTATGTTGTCTTCCACCTCCTACTCATTTCTGGGATATATTACAGAGAGTAATTACCAAATTTATCTGGATTTGCAAACAACCGCATCTTAAACTTTCCATAATGCAACGAGACAGATAGGCTGGTGGACTTTCACTCCCAAATTTTAAGCTTTACCACTGGTCCTTCACGCTTCGTCCCACCATACTTTGCTCGTTTGATGATAAAATGTAAGTTTCTTGGCATTCGCTTGAGGAAAATTTTGTTCTTCCATTGAAGTTGAATGAAATTTTGCTTGCTAATATACCTAAAAATAAGTGCAAACTCAGTTTTGGCCCCTTAATATCATACGCTCTCTCAGTCTGGAGAGCAGCAGAAAAGGTCTGTAATATTAATTCAAACAGGAATCCTTGTTCTCTTATCTTTAATTACTACGGTTTATTAAATGGTAAACATCCAATTAAGCTTGGCCAGTGTCAACAATGGTATGACGAAGGTATTCACTCATTGGGTAATCTAATAGGTAAAAAGGGCCTCTCTGCCTTCTAAGAACTTTCTGTTAAGTTTAATCTGCAAAGCTCCTACTTTTTTTTTTATTGACAGCTGAGGGCAGCCATGAAAGCCTATGGGGTCCTTTGGATGGCTCCTCTTAAAGAACACCCCTTGTTGAAACTATTGCACGACTCTCAAGGAACACAGGGATTGGTTTCTAAATACATACTTTTCAGATAAAAATTTTACCTCCCTTTGTCATTAGACTCTTCTTGGAGAGCAAATATTTCAGAACTTTCTCCCAGCTTCGATTGGGATGAAGTTTGGTCAATGGTAATGCCTCCATCCAGGAATGCGGATCATCAACAGATTCATTTAAACTTCATCCATATAGGACTTATATTACTCTACGCAAACTTTATAGTATGAAGCTTAAACCTTACAGCAAGAAGGTCGCTGGTTTGAGACTCGACTAGGTCAGTTGGCATTTCTGTGTGGAGCTTGCATGTTCTCCCCGTAATCGCGTGGGTTTTCCTCGGGTCCTCCAGTTTCCCCCACAGTCCAATGACATACGGAACAAGTGAATTGGGTAGGCTAAATTGTCCGTAGTGTATGAGTGTATATGGATGTTTCCCAGAGATGGGTTGCAGATGGAAGGGCATCCGCTGCGTAAAACATGTGCTGGATAAGTTGGCGGTTGATTCCGCTGTGGCAACCCCAGATTAATAAAGCGACCAAGCTGAAAAGAAATGAATGAATGACTGAATGAAAGAACTAAACGTTTCAGTCCCTCTCGCCCCCTCTATTTTCATCTAAAATTATTTTTCTGGTATCCAACTTAATAAAATTTAAAAGCAAGTGTTTTTTGCTGGCTTGACAGCAGACAAGAAAATAGTTGTAACAAGATGGATGCCTCCACATTCTCCTAATCATCATCAGTGGATTCTTACTTTTATTGATATTGTGTCTCTAGAAATGTCCACTGCTCGCATCCATGGTGCAATAGAGGACACCATCAGACTTTGGGCACAAACCTTGGACAAATTTACAGGTTTACTAGTTTAATCAAGGAGACATCAAAAAGCAGAAACTTCTGGTTCCAGACCCCATCATTTTTTTAATATATAATATTTTTACATTTATTTATTTTCCTTCTGTATTAATTTTATCTATTTTTTCCCCTTTTTATAGTAATCCTCTTTCAGCTTCTAATAACTTTTCTTCATTGTCGTAGCCTCTTTCAGCACAGTTTTGAATACCTATTTCTATTTGTCTATTACCGTCATTTTATTTATTCGTTTTTAACCGGCTTAATTTTACGCTTATTTAACCTTAAATACAGATTCTGTTTATTGCCTTTTTTGGTTCGGAAATTTGTTTTATGTATATGTATTTATGTGTGTTTGTGTATATGTATTTATATATTCATTTATTTTATTATTTCTATTTGTTTTAGTATGTCATTGTCAGTACTCTTCAGTTTTTTTTTCCTTTTTATTGACTGTTGTTGTTATTGTTGGCAGTATTATTAATACTATTATTTAACAACCTGTATTGGTTCTTACATGTATACCTATGCACTTTCACATATGCTGATTGTCTACGGCAGTGGTCACCAAACTTGTTCCTGGAGGGCCGGTGTCCTGCAGATTTTAGCTCCAACCCTAATCAAACACACCTTAACAGACTAATCAAGGTCTTACTAGGTATACTTGAAACATGCAGGCAGGTTTGTTAAGGCGAGTTGGTGCTAAACCCTGCAGGGACACCGGCCCTGCAGGAACGAGATTGGTGACCCCTGGTCTACGGCATGTTTTTCTGTGTTCGAAAAATACAAAATAAAAGAAAATTTTGATTAAAAAATATAATGCTTAGCTGCATTAGTTACCCATAGAAAGACATTAAAGCATTTATTTTGTAACCAGTTGAAACATGCTGTTTAAAACAGGGTTATTCAGCTATTTTCATGCCACAAACCCCATATACAATAATTCTCTGACAATGCACTTTATAATGTAAGAGCCATCAATATGGTTTCGTATAAAGAACCAATTATACTTAACTATTGATCTAAATAGTTAATCATCTAATTTATTTTATTTTGTTTTAATCTTCCTTTTTATATGTTTTATAATTATTTTGATGATTTGTATTTATTAATATCATCTGAATGGATAATTTAGATCTAATCATTTATTTTAATAACATTTTTGATTGCTTTTCTTATTTTATTAATGTCAGTAGTATGCGATTAGACTATTTGTCTTTTTATTTATATATTTGTCTAAATTATTGTTTTGTATAAATCTATTCATTTATTCATTTTCCTTCGGCTAGTCCCTTTATTCATCAGGGGTCGCCACAGCAGAATGAACTGCTAACTTATCCAGCAGATGTCTAACACAGCAGATGCCCTTCAGCCTGCAACATGGAAAAACATCCATACACACTCATCCACTACACTACAGCTAATTTAGTTTATTCAGTTTACCTGTACTGCATGTCTTTGGACTGTGGACGAAACCAGAGCATCTGGAAACTGACACGAACACAGGGAGAACATACAAATGCCATACAGAAATGTTAACTGACCCAGCCGAGCCTCGAACCAGCAACCTTTTTGCTGTGAGGTGACAGTGCTAACCACTGAGCTATACCGTGTTGCCAAGTAGGCTACTATAAAGGTTAATTCCAAAGTTTATGTTTATGTTTCTCTTTCTCTTGCTGTGTTTATCCTTACACAATATTTGAGTATTTATTTTAATCTTTTTATATTATTAATTAAACTATTTATTATTTATTTTCTCCAAGAATTTCCACGATCCCCAAAATTGTGGTTCACTGATTTTAACCATGACTTTTAAAGTTCCTTACGAACTAGAATTGTTTATTGTCGCCAGTGCAATGCGGTTCTATCAGAAAATAATTTTACATACTTACCCAGCCATTAAATAATTAAGCTATAATTGATACGCTTATGTTTAGTATCCATATGTTATTATCGTCCGTATTTAAATATACCCAGCTTTGACAAATGTGACGGAAAAACTTTGAAGGCTCAACTAGCAAGCTCTTTCAGAATGAACGTCAAGTTTGGTTGAGGAGATGCGGAGTGGAGACTGGTCCCATGACTGGTCCAGCCGTGAATCACATCCGTGACGCAAGCAGAGAGAAGGACAAGGCGCAGCATCCTCTCCATCCTCCATAGCACAACAACGACTCACAAAAGAGAGGAAACCAAATCGCGATTTCGAGGCTTGTTGTCAGGTAAGGCGAATAAAATAAGTCAAGTACGATGTTGACGAAATCTAAATGGCCATTTTGTTTCTCCGCGAGAGAAAAACAGCCTGCTTGTTTTTCATGTGCTGCGTGATGGAGCGTCCATGTTTTCTTGTTGACACAGGGCAAGACTGACATGCTTTTTAAGGGGAGACGAGAACACAATGCGCTCGCTTTTACACGAGAGGTCGTTTTTATTCAACTGTGGATTATTAATCGACGAATTAATTCAATATTGAGGAATTAAAGACGGTGACAGTTTCATTTCTGCACGATTCATTTCTGAATACGCCCCTTTTTTGGTGGAAAGCCTAATGATGCTTAGGAAATTATTCAGATATGCTTTAAATATATTTTTTAGTACTGTGTAAATTAACGTTATTTAATCCACCCTCGTAAAATAAACATGTAGGCTATAGATATTAATTACTGCCTCTATACTCAGTTATTATATCATTATGAAAAATAAACAGTCTGTTTTCCTTTAAGAAACTAAGAAAGCTTTCCAGTCTATATCTAAATGATGATTCTGTTATGAAGATAATGTTCAAAAATATTTGAATTCTTGTCGAAGGGATTGTGGGAAAACACACAAATGAGATCTGTTTGTTTAATTGACATCTTTGTAATGCAAACATCATAAGTATCTCCTCCAGTCTGATGCAATAGATGGACATTGAAAGCAGCACAACAAGCAGCTCATGTGTGAGCTTGTCATATTCCAGACGCAATTAAAAACCTTTAGAGGAATACATTATGTATTATTAAAATGAGCGAGAGATACTGAAGCTCATATTCTCTTTGATCTTTGCTCTGATGAATAAGTTTTCAGAACAGATTGAGTGTGTATAGACATTTTGTAAAATAAGCATCATGAGGGATCACAATGTGCAGGATTTTGAAGATTTTGAACTGTATTTTGATTGTACTGTATATGGTTTTTAATTCAAATTCTGCTTCTGTAAGTATCATATATTTGAGATGCAGTGTATTTTCAATATTCACTTGGTTGCGTATTGCATCTAAAATATTGATAGTCAAAAAGATCAAATATGCCTAACCAAGGATACGTTGCAAATATTTAGCCTATGATTAGATTTTCATTGCAGTGATTAAAATGTGTCTGACATGTTGAATGTTTGGCAGTTTTACAATTCTGATGCCTTGTAGCTTTTTTAATTTCTTAAACAACCATGTCAAAAGACAGTCCCCATAGTGAAATTTCAGAGTCACATAGATAAAATTCTTCAGGCTCAAATTATGAAAGAAGGCTTAATTATTCATATTTAAATTGACCACTAATTAGCCAAAACTACTCTACACTTAATTCACATAGAGATACCATTAAATATCCTGAAAATTACTGGAACAACTTTACCGTTAAATTCAAAAAAGCGCTGTTCACACAGGCAACAACATTCCGGATTTTTTTTCAGTAAAAGACCATTCAATTATGCATTATACAGGTAAATTCTGACATCATTAACCAGAAATGAGCTCTAAATGGCTTCGGTTTATTTGTAAACACAGAAAGGGTCAGCTTTTTGTTGATGGTACTGTACATAATATGTGCTGATGTTAATGCGTCTGAATGTTCTTATTGGTTAAAGTACTCGTCTCACTTCAGCGCGTTCTAAACATGAATGCGCTCTTTTTGGCAATCTTCCTTCTGCATTCACACATTCCGGCAAATTACCTGTAATGTTACAACTTCTCTTTTCAGAAAATTGCCAAAACAAATTTTTTAGTATTTTTAAAATGGGCCTGTTCACACATACAGACCTTTCCGGAAAATTGCAGGTAATTTTCCGGAAAGGTCTGTGTTTGTGAAAGGGGCTATTGATAACTAATGTTATGATAGCTGTTTTAACATTAAGTTATGATTGAGTTGCCTCTTGTTACAGTTATGAAATAGTTTGATAACAAGCTGGAAATGTTCATGGGTCAATGACATGACCACATTGAAATGGTCTATAGTGCATGTCTATGGACTGTGGGGAAAACTGGAGCACCCGGAGGAAGCCCACACGAACACGGGGAGAACATGCAAACTCCATACAGAAATGCCAACTGGCCCAGCCGGGGCTCGAAGCAGTGAGCTTCTTGCTGTGAGGTGACAGTACTAATCCTTTTATATAGTTCTTGAAAAAAATCCATACACTGTAAATAAAAAAATCTGCTCTTTTTTAATCATAAGAAATGTGTACTTATCACAACCTACATCAAACAGTTTGACTGAAATGATTAAGTTAAGCTTTGCAAAACTCAGAAAATGTAGTTGAAACCTGGTTAACTTGCTAAAATAAGTTAAAGTAACAAAAAACATTTGTTATCATGACTTATCATATTCATTACAGATGAATGCATACAGTAGTCAAGATGATTTTAAAGATGCTCACTATCTGACTCTGTGGTCAACAATTCTGTAAAGTTCAATTATTATTATTGTTGTTATTATTATTATTATTATTATTATTATTATTATTATTATTATTTGTTTTGTTATTATAGTATTATAAGATATTATATTAGTTGCTTTAAAATTATGCTGAACAGCTTCTCAGTGTCTGCTTAGAATATATTTAAGATCACTTTCAAATTATTTTAATATCGGAATGTAAAACAACTTTGGCTATCGTATAATGGATTAAATGAATAGTTCTTTTCTTCAGTACAACATTAAATATGATTTTACACACAACTGTGCTGCTTGGTGATTCATGAAGTGCAAGACCATGGTCACCAACACTTGGAGATATACAGGGAAAACAAAATACCCACTTTATGAAGTGAAACAATCTGTCTCTTCCTAATATTTTCTTATTATTTCAAGCTTCATTCATTGTTGAGAATGTGTTCATGACTGTTTGCTGTGAGTGTTGATTAAAGGTAATAATGTTGTAAATAATGTTCAATTTCATCTACATATTGGATGGCTTGGGGGTGAATAAATTAACAGTAAACATTCATTTCACTTTTAGCGGAAATGTACTGCAGTGTGAGTAATTCTGATAGCTGACCTAGCAGAAAACAGTTATGGGTCTGTCTGAGACATCAAAGTAAATTGCAATGACTTCTATTCAGCGTTAATCTCAGTAAGATGGCACAGAAACTGGTGAAGTCCGCTCTCTCCTCTGTTCTAGCAGACAGCCCTGGAAGCAGTGAGTCACTCATCCACTCTGTCAGACTCCTTGCTATACTTAGAGCCTCACAGGGAGGGATATCTGTAGGGGAAACGGTGATGCTCATATGTTCCCTGTCGGTTATTCTTCTCATTTTGTTTTTGAGCAATGATCAAGCTAAAGAATATTAAGAGCCTTTTTAAATGTCATTATAACAGACTACGGGTTACAGATCAATCAACAAAGAAATTGCTGTCCATGCTACATGATTGAGTCCTGCATATTCCTGCAATGTAAAAAAAAACCAATTAGTTACTTTACTTTAAAAAAATGAGTAAACCCGTTGCCTTAAACGCAACTAGTTGATTTTACTTAAAAAGAAGACAGTAAACCCATGGAATTAACTTTTTTAATTATGCACATACTTTGTTTACCTAAAATATATAAGGCAACAAGTTTACTCTCTTTTTTAAGTAAAGTCAACTAATAACTTTTTACAGTGTATTACTGTGCAGTTTTACATCTGTATCGTTCTTCATGTAGACGTTGAAATCTCTTTGCTTTCACAATGTCGAGTTTCTTCAGCCTTATGAAAAGATATTTTATGAGAATTGTCCTCTCTTTTTTTTTTATGAAAGTTATGAAACTGCTAGGTGTATGGTTATAATTTTTAGCTATGCAAATTTGTGTCCAGGCCCAATCACATAAGCAGAATGACTAAAGAGGAAACTTCCGATGTGGAAGAAGCTCAGCCGACCTCTGAGTTCGTCAGCCCTGTCCATGAGCCCCGCAAGAAGCCCATGGTGCATCCTGCTGCCCAGGCTCCACTGCCCAAGGACTATGGTGGGTTTCTCGAATATTTTCTTGAGAACTTAAAATTTTTTATTAGAATTAATGGTTTCATGCAGAACCGTTTACATTTAAAGAACCTTTCCATTTCACACAAAAAAAAAAAAAAAATCTTTATTGTGCAATAAAAGTAAGGCTGCAAAATATATGGCAATATAATAAATATATTGTGATAACAGAATGTGTCATATATATTGCAGACATGTGATAAGTTACATTTATTTTATGCATTGGTTGTTTATCTAAATTTGACCAATCAGATGGTGCCTTACTATATTTACCTCCACCTCCACAGTAGCTACTGTTCTGCTATTGGCTAGAGAGACACAAAGGTAAACACAGTGCTAAAAAAATACTAATGGTGGACAAGAAAAGAAAATAACAACAGTCAGTCAGAGTCAGAATATTTGCTGGTTTACTAGTTTTCACTTATTTAGAGTGTTTTAAAAACTAAATGTTCTCACTTTAACAGTTTTTAGTCTGAACTAGAATTAATTAGGTCTATATAAAAAAATTTTTTCTTGGGAAATGTTATATCATTAGAAATATAAGTTTCTCAATACTCAACAGCAGTTTCAAATGTAGCATATTTTCCAGTATCGTGCAGCCTTAGAAAAAGTTATTTTAATTATTATAATGTTCTTCACAATTAGAAAATATTGTCATTTTAAAAACTGTTGACTAAAATGGTTTCTATATAGTAATAACATTTAAAACCTTTACTTTTAAACATATTTCACACAAAAATAAAAGTTTACTCACTATTTACTCACCCTCAAGTGGTACCAAACCTTTTGAGTTAAGTTTCATAAGTTTATCCTGTTACACATAAAAGAAGATATTTTGAAAAAAGCTAAAAGCCTGTGAGGTTTTAATGTTCCAGCGTTCTTGAAAGTATCTTCTTTTTTTTTTTTTGTTCAACAAAAAAAAGAAACTTAAACAGGTTTGGAATAAGTAAAGTCAGAGTAAATGATGACAGAACTTTCATTTTTGGTGAACTTTCCCTTAAAAAGTGAACAAATTCTGAACTACAGTAGCTGATGGTAAAACAAAATTGTGTTTAAATTTCAAATTTCAACCATTTTATTGGCTTAAACCTAATAAATTCCTGTATTAATATCCTGATTTTTACTTGCTTCTGTCTCAGCGTTCACCTTCTTTGATCCAAATGATCCGGCCTGCATGGAGATTCTGACCGATCCTCGAACAACAATCCCAGAACTGTTTGCCATTATCCGTCAATGGGTTCCACAAGTTCAACATAAGATCGACATCATAGGCAATGAGGTGAGTCTTTGCTTGAAGTATTTCTCTTGCTTTCTAAATGTTTTCTATGCATGTTAAAACTTCTACCTTACTTAGATGAACAAAAACCATGGAATCTCTGAATCTTTCTTTTCACTTGGTTCAAGAAAGAAAGTCATACAGTAGTTATACAGTAGGATGTCCTATGGGTGACTAAATAGACAGGAAATTTTCATTTGAGGTGTACTGTTCTTTTAATGAACAGAGAAGGTGGGGAACCATAAATAAATGCCTTGTCTGAAGGCATAGAGAGATGTATTGAGTTTCTTTCAGCTGTGGTTATTTCTCTGTAATATGACCTATTGATTAATGGATGAATACATTTGGTTTCCAATCCACGAGTTGATTTTATACTTGTTGAAAACTCTCTTTAATTTTTGAAAACTGCTTTATGAAAGTCTGAGCAAATGTGCTTTTTTTATATATATATTTTTTTAATTTACAATAATTTACGTTTAGGTGTGTGAAGACAAAGTACAGGCATTTAAAATAATCTGTTATTTAGCTTTATATTAACTATTGCCAAAACAATTTGACTGTGGTGCTGATAAATGTTAGTGATTTTGTTATTTACAATTAGAACTTCATATCTTTTAAGATAACAAATCCACTGATATTTATCAGCACCACAATCAAATCATATCGCAAATTATAAATTTATTTCAAAACATTTTAATTCTCAGTGAATTTATTAGGTATGGGATTGAGTAAAATGTTTTACAACTTTAATTACATTAGGTTTGATAACATTTCATCAAAATGCTTTTCTTGACATTTATAAGTATGACAGTTGGTCATTATAACGAATGCTTTTATTTGTTGTAACTGAAAATCAGGGTTATTCCACCCAGTAATGATGCATTAACTTCTTCTGAACTAAATCACATACATTAAATCATATTACCTTAAAACAGATATATTGCTTAGTAGTTTTTTTATGTTTGTGATTTGTCCAGTGTTAATCTAATAGCTGTAATTCCACATATTTGTACAGTATGTAAATTAGTAAATAATAATTAATAATAAATTTTAAAGTTGCAGTATAAAAATTACTGTATATTTTACAGTAAAGATAAGCAGTACTGTAAATAACTGTAATGTGATCTGTGGTATACCATAGGGCAGTTATGCGGTATGTTAAGCCTGGTTTATACTTCTGCATAGAGTGATCAGTGTGACCCACGGTGCATGCCTTGCATGTTGTTGTGCATTTATACTTCTGCGTACGGTTTGTGTTGCTCTGCAATAACACTTCCAAAACACTTGCTGGTAGTGAGGTTTTTATGTTCCTGTGTGTCAAGTTTCTTCGCTGGTGTTTTGTTTTTTCTGAACGCTACCTTAATGTAGAAGTAGCTCAAACTCGCTCATTTTGAAGCGGGAACTGGGGGATGTGCAACAACTTTAGTCATAAGGTAAACACAATATAACACTTTCCATCTGGAGCTTCACGGGACTCTACACTTGTTTATACGGCTCCATCGGCCTCGCCCGGCTCTTTGTCCCACCCACACTCGTCAGCGCTACCAAGCTGACCAATAACAGAGCTTGTGCTACCCGTTGTTGTGATGTGTAGTTACATTTTTTGAGAGGTGTGCGTTAGTGTCGGCGACAGCCACGGCATATGGCAAGTTGTTGCGACATGTAGTCAAATTTTTTAAAAAGTGTGCGTTGTTGCGACGAGTAGTTAACTTTTATGAGAGGTGTGCGTTAGTGTTGGCGACAGCCACAGCGAGGGGTATGCGTCCACACACAGGCTGCGCCGGAGCAAATCAGCCTTTACTCAGGGCTTAATTTGGATCCGGTACCTCTGAAATCTCATCCAGTACCTCATTTTACCGATCCTCTTCTCATACATATGCAGTATGTTACTGTATTTTAAAGTTGCATTTTGACATTTACTGTATATTTTACAGTAAAAATCTACAGTACAGTAAATAACTGTAAGATAAGCTGTATTAAACCGTAGGACAGTTATGCAGAAAATTACTGTATTTTAAAGTGGCATTGTGAAAATTATTGTATATTTTACGGCAAAAATACACAGTACTGTAAATACATTTACAGCTAAATAAATGGTGCTGTAAATGTAAATACAGCATTTTTCTTTAATTGATTTAAAGTAAGTTACTGGCGAACTGCTGCCTGTAAGTTACTGTAGATTCTACAGGGAAGAATCCCTAGAGGAAGTGGAGCAGCAGGGATTGATGGCAGCGGTAATAAGCCTCCTTCATCTGACTAATCTCCCCATTGGGTTTTGCCCTAAATCAGCTCCACCTGTCAGATCTTTCTGAACTCCCACTGCCCACCACAATCTGCCCTGGTGAGGCTGAACTGTAATCTGTAATCAAAGTAAGAGGTTTCATAAGTTAGAAAGTTCATAAGGTTTCACAACCATCCTGACATTAGTGGCTTAAACCAGCTGATTTATGCTGGCTTTTACCGAGGGAATAATAATCATTCCCAGAACCAACCAGAACCAAACAAGTTTATATTCAAAATTGTAACACAAATCTGTTCTCTTTTGGTGTGCAAATAAAATATTAAAATTGACTGGACTTTTGTTCTCAACTAATTAACTTTAATTTCTTGATGAAAAATAGCAATCAGCAAGACATTTAAAAAAAAATTGTGCTTAAAGTTTGGCTTAAGAAAAATAAAATAAAAAATGTAATCACTGATTTGATCTAATCGTATTGACTGTTATGAATTGTATGTATGTACTGTAAATGTGTATTGTACTATTTTCTAATTTAATGTTGGTAATTTTGTTACAACATCCTGCCTGGGACTACAGATTTGTAGCTAACTCTGGCAAATCATATTATGTTGTACATTGTCCCTGTAAAATTAAATGAAACAAATACAAAAAACATCATCTCCCAAGTTTCCACAAAATGGCTGCTGTACATTAAGAAAATATGATGGTATGGATGACTCAGCGTTTTTTTTCTATCACATATTATCAATATTAATTGATGTAATTTTTCATCATTAGAGTGCATTTCACTAATATGGCCCTCGTCCAGCTTTGAAAGTGGCCATTTGCTTTGGAAAAGCTTCATCTACTCTAAGCCATAATTGCCTGCGAGTCTGCATTAGTTATGAACTGGGATCCAGATGCATGGAAGTCCATCATGTGTTGATCAACTTTTCCTGTTCTCTCGCTTACAGATTTTAAAGCGAGGCTGCCACGTCAATGACCGCGATGGCCTGACGGACATGACTCTACTCCACTACTGCTGCAAAGCTGGGGCTCACGGAGTCGGTGAGTTTATGCTTGGAGGTCACAATCCATAATACCAATGTGACATTCTCGCTAATTGAGGTCATTAAAATTTGATCAACTTCTTGCTGTAAATCGTTCAAAAGCTCAAACCTTGCATGCTGTGCATTTTTACACTTGACAACATAATGAAAGCAATCTGTAGTAATAATGTGTTTTCCTCTTAGGCGACCCTGAGGCAGCGCTCCGGCTGTCCAATCAGCTGTTAGCTCAGGGAGCCGATGTCAGTCTGCGCAGTCGCTGGACTAACATGAATGCCCTCCATTATGCCGCTTACTTCGATGTGCCAGAACTGATTCGCATTTTGCTGAAAGCCTCCAAGCCAAAAGGTGACGTACAGCTGTGGTTGAGTTTGTTTTTGTATTCGTGGCATGATCTAAACTTTTCACTGGGCAGGTGCTCTTTCAAACCATCTAGCAACATTCTCAATAATACGCAATAATAACAATTACGGTTGAAAATGAAAAGATGCTTGATAATTTAGAAAATGTCAAGTGTTTTTTACAGGAAATATGTAGTGGTCAGTTTTATATTAGCATTTTTAGGGGTGTGCAATATTTTTTGTATATGATAATATCATATCATTATTGTTGTTTTAATATTATTGAGTATGCCTGGCACTTTCCAAAATGCATATTAGGATGGCCTTATAATAAGTTTTTGAAAGCAAAATAAATCTGTATGGGTTTTTGTTTATTTATATATATATATATATAGATCTGAAAGAATCCCCCCACTCACCCTTTTCTCCCTTCTTTTTGGATTGGGCGACACGGCAAGAGTCACAGCTCACAGTCCCCACTAAACCAGTCGCCAGAAATAAGTCGGGGGAGTCTATCGTGATCTACCTTAGCTCAAACTCCCCTCTCGCTCTGCTAACGGAAGGGAGCCCAGGGCTCGAGGATCTTATGAGCTCAGGGCTCTCTCCCAGGATAGCATGCCAAACAAGCTTTATTATCAGTCATCATTTTTTATACTACAGTTCAACAACTTCGATATGAAGATATTGAGTGAGTGATATTTTAGACTCAATTTATTTTTTCCTGTTTGGACAACAGAAATAATTTTTAAAAACTACTTCTCAGTTTCTCAGACAAACACTGCAGTTTTTCCATTCTCTGTGAATCAGCCTATGAACCAATCATTTGAATCAATAATTCAATGATCCATTAAAAAAGACAAATTTCTTTTGTTTTAAATTAATCAGAATTTTAAATAAATTATTTGAATCAATGACTCAATGAATAATTTATCAAGACAACAATCCTACTGGCTGTTGTATCTTATTTATCCATGAAAAGTCTAAACCAGCCAAAAGACAGACACAAAACTCAGAAAATATTGTTAAATTATAAAAATCCCCAAAATTTGTTTTTAATTTTTGTCAATATCATTAACTCTTTGCATTTTCCATGAAAAAAGTAAGGAGTCGTGTAACATGTCTGTTGCTTTTTCTTCTCTCCACAGTGCTTAACTCCACCTGCAGTGACTTTTGTCATGGCACAGCCCTCCACATCGCTGCCTCAAACCTCTGCCTGGGTGCTGTCAAGTGTCTGCTGGAGCACGGAGCCAACCCTGCTGTCAGAGTGAGCAGAATGATTTAAACTTCCCTCAATGCAATCAGCCTAATTGGCTTTGCCTTAAATCCCCTCTGCTCATATTAAATCAATGTCTCAGACATCTTTGTAAGCCTGTTATTTAGAATGCTAAGATTAGTAGCCAAACTATGTTATGATCTTATTTATGCATCTAAACAATGTGCAGATATAGACTGAGGTTGGAAAGTACAGTAAAATAATAATAGTGTTATATATAAATATGACAAATTTATTTCAAAATTATTATTTTTTAACAAATTTATAGCATTCATTTTATTGTAATTGCGAAGCTATTCAGCTTTATTATACATAATCCTTTAGAAATCATTTTAATATGCTACTTTGGTAAACTTTTTCTCATTATCAACATTGAAAATGGTTGTGGTAATAAAGAGTTTGTTGTAGTCTAAATTTCAAAGTTAAAATCCTGATCTAAAAACCATCACATCTATTACATTTGTCTTTTTTTTTTAAATCACTTTTACCTTAGTTTGTAGTTCTTATTGAATTAATGTAAACCTCACAATGTGTTGTTGGCAGTTTCATCCGGTAAGTCCATTAAGACAACACCATCAAGAGAGTGTTCTACTAGAAACAGCACTGTGACTCTTTTAAACATACTATCATTTGGGCAACACTAATTGTATTTTGGATTACTATTTAATGAGGATATTATGCAAATTGAGATTCAGCAGCTGTGCCTCCATGACACTTAAACAACAATTAAACCTCATTTCTCTGCATATAGACTTTTGATGGAATTATGCAGTTATATACAGTACTGTACATACACAGCACAGCAGTGATGTAGACATTCAATCGAGACATTTTAGTTTAGGGAGAAAAAATCTATTTGTGGATGAGAAACATAAACATCTACATAACACATTTAAGTCATAAACCCTTTAAATGATCTGCATGTTACAGAATGATAAAGGTCAAGATCCTGCTGAGGTTGTCCCAGACCCCATGGACATGAGTCTGGATAAAGCTGAGGCCGCAATGGTGGCTAAAGAGCTGAAACAGCTGCTGCTGGATGCAGTTCCTCTCAGCTGTAATCTCCCCCGAGCCACCCTGCCCAACTACGACAACATCCCCGGAAACCTCATGCTCTCCTCCCTCGGCCTCAAACTTGGGGACCGTGTGGTGCTGGACGAAACAAAGGTGAGTTTGTGAGTCAGAATTCTGACTTTATAACTTGAAATTGTGACTTTTTATCTCAGATTTCTGACTTTATGTGACAGTTATGTAAAATGTTTAATTTTTTTATTCAGAGGTGGAAACAGATAGGCTTCCATAGATTTCTATGTTGAAAATAGAGAATATATTTAAAACTATTGCCTTTCTCCTGCAGACTGGCACACTGCGTTTTTGTGGTACCACTGAGTTTGCTAGTGGCCAGTGGGTCGGTCTTGAGCTGGACGAGCCGGAGGGCAAGAATGACGGGAGTGTGGGTGGAATCCGCTATTTTATCTGCTCCGCAAAGCAAGGTGTGTGTTAGTGTATATTTAATATTCATAATCTTTCTGAATTTAGAATTGCCGTAAAAAATTAAGAGCATAAATATTTGATTTATGTTTTTGTTTAGGGATCTTTGCTCCTGTATCAAAAATCACCAAAGCTGTTGAACAGACTCCTTCTTCAGTCACCTCCACACCAAAAACCCCTCGCATGGATCTGTCCCGCGTAACTGGCAAGATCAAGAAGGAGAAAAAAGAGAAAGATCGCGAAAAGAGTGAGTGATAATGTCTGTATCCATCCATATAAAATATGTATGTGATTTTCTTTTTTCTTTTGTCAGATTGTTGTCAGATCTACATTTCATGTCACATATTTTTGCTGTATAAAAGACATAGATTATTTCTAAAGTTAGTCGTCTGAGCTTTGCATTTGATTTTCTTCTTTTACAGCTCCAAGAAAGAAGTCCCTGTCCGGGGTCAGTTTGGATCCTGATGGAGTGAAGGTTGAGGTTGGAGATCAGGTGCTGGTGGCAGGACAAAAACAAGGGATTGTCCGCTTTTTCGGAAAGACTGACTTTGCTCCTGGTGTGTTTATGTTACATATTAATGTAGAAAATGGGCATTTTTTAATATGTGATGAAACTTCTAATGCTGGATGGACAATGTTTGTGCTTTCAGGATACTGGTTTGGTGTCGAACTGGAGCAGCCCACCGGAAAGCATGATGGCAGTGTGTTTGGAGTACGCTACTTCCACTGTTTGCCCAAATATGGAGTTTTTGCACCACCATCCCGTGTTCAGAGGTAAAACCTTCAACATGTACTAGAAAAACTGCAATAAAAATACATTTGAACCTTAAAGATATAGTTGAAAAGATAAGTTTACTCTCTATTTACTCACCCCTTAAGTGGTTATAAACCTTTATGAAGTATTATTCTGTTGAACACAAAGAAAGATATTCTGAAGAAAGCTGAAAGCCTGTAACCATTGACATCCATTGCAGGAAAAGCAAAAACTATGTAAGTCAATGGTTACTGGTTTTTAGCTTTCTTTAAAATAACTTATTTTGTATTCAACAGAAGTAAGAAACTCAGACATTTTTGCAACAAGTGAAGAGTGAGAAAATGAAAAAAAAAATTGATTAAAAAAAACAGAATGTCTATTCTTGGATAAATTATCTCTTTAATACCAATATTTCACCTTTATTTAAACAATGTCTGTTTTATTCTGTAAAAGATATATAAAAAACATTGGGAAAATGTTCTTTTTTAGGAGGGGAACAAAACTGCAATGTAAAAATATTATATTTGGGCCATGTTGAGGGTTAAACACAAAAGCTAACTGAATAAATAAAAGTTGCATACAAAATATTAAAACAAAACATAACAAAATATATAACAAAAATATATAAAAACTATATTATAATATACAGTTAGGTCCTCGACACAATTCTAACATTTTTGTCTCTTTACACCAACACAATGGATTTGAAATGAAACGAACAAGATGTGCTTTAACTGCAGACTCTCAGCTTAAATTTGAGGGTATTTACATACAGATCAGGTAAACGCTGTAGGAATTACAACAGTTTGCAAATGTGCCTCCCACTTGTTAAGGGTTTAAAAGTAATTAGATAGAATAATAATCATAAATCAAATGTTCACTTTTTAATACTTGGTTGCAAATCCTTTGCTGTCAATTACAGCCTAAATTCTTGAATGCATAGACATCACCAGACGCTGGGTTTCATTTCTAGTGGTGCTCTGCCAGACTTCTACTGCAACTGTCTTCAGTTCCTGCTTGTTCTTGGGACATTTTCCATTCAGTTTTGTCTTCAGCAAGTGAAATGCAAGCTCATTCGGATTTAGATCAGGTGATTGACTTGGCCATTGCTTAACATTCTACTTTTTTCCCTTCAAAAACTCTTTTGTGAAGCGAAGTGCCGTCCAATGAGTTCTAAAGCATTTGGCTTAATATGAGCAGAAAATATTGCCTGAAACACTTCAGAATTTATCCTGCTGCTTTTGTTAGCAGTCACATTATCAATAAACACAAGGGAACCAGTTCCATTGACAGCCATACATGGTCACACCATGACATCATGCTTCACTTCTTAGGGTCAGCAGTTCCTTTCCTTCTCCATACTCTTCTCCTCCCATCACTCTGGTACAAGTTTATCTTGATTTCATCTGTCCATGGGATGTTGTTCCAGCACTGTGAAGGTTTTTTTTAGAATTCTAATCTGACCTTCCTATTTTGAGGTTCACCAATGGTTTACATCTTGTAGTGAACCTTCTGTGTTCACTCTGGTGTAGTCTTGGTGAGTTATGACTTGGTGAGTGTTCTTGTTCTGGCCAACTGTTGTGAAGGGTGTTTTCTTTACCAGGGAAATAATTCTTTGGTCATCCACTACAGTTATTTCCGTGGTCTTTCGGGTCTTTTGGTGTTGCTGAGCTCACTGGTGCTTTCTTTCTTTTTAAGAATGTTCTAAACAGTTGTTTCTTCTGTAGAAACAGTCGACCTTGCCTAATGTTTTTGCTATCTCTCTGTTTTGTTTTTTCAGCCTAATGATGGCTTGCTCAACTAATAGTGACAGCTCTTTGGATCTTATGTTGAGAATTGACAGTAACAGATTCCAAATGCAAATAGCACACTTTAAATAAACTCCAGACCTTTTATGTGCTCATTGTAATTGGGATAATGAGGGAATAACACACACCTGGTCATGAAACAGTTTGGAAGCCAATTGTCCAATTACTTTTGGACCCTTAACAAGTGGGAGGCACATTTGCAAATTGTTGTAATTCCTACAGCGTTCACCTGATTGTTTTGTTGTTTTTGGTTAAATCACATGAGTAGACCATTGGCTTTCTGTGTTCCTGTATAGTGATTAGCATTTGCAGTGGAGTGTCACTATTTATTAAAGCATAATAATAGAGTTTCTTAATTAACATAGCTTTAAAAGTGCAAAACAAACAAACAAAAACAAAAGCATCTGGTGTAAAATGAGAAGGAAATTTTAAAAGGTTAACTACAGGGTCACTCTGAATGTTCAGATAAATTCTTCAAAAATAATTTGTAGTATCATTTAATCTTGTAGAATTGGAGGGCCCAAAGATCCCCAAGGAGACGGGACGCTAGTGAAGAAAGTCCACCAGGTGACTAGTAAGTACCACGATAAGGTGCATGTGCCCATCAGTACACTCTGATCTAGAACCCATAAGTTCTGATGTGAAAAACATGATCCTGTCTCATTTACAGTACAAAGCATCATGTTTTTCACAGTCTCACAATAGCCACCAAAGCTCATATTTAGCACTCCATTTTGTGTCATGTAAAAATACAGTGTCTATAATGTTTATTATCTATGCATGATTGCATGTGGAAATGTGTATATAGCACTTATTATGCAATATGTATCATACAATATGCACATGAATGTCCAAATGATGGCCCCAGGTGCATGACTACAATGATTATTCCTCCTCTTCTCCACAGTGTCTCAACCGAAGCGTAATTTTAATGCGGTGCGATCTCCGAAAGACATAACATCTGAAAGTTCCATATCCAGGTAGGCTTGTGTCCCACTGTCAAACACATCCGTTTGGCTGCAGCTGTGAATATATAATGCATCCTGACTGTGTTGCAAGATTAAGCAACCTTTTACTTTCTTGATTTGTTTGTGTTGTAGCAGGTTGCTGTTCTGTTGCTGGTTTCCCTGGATGCTCCGTGCGGAAATGCAGTCCTAAAGTCACCGGTTACATCTTTATTTCTCTCTCTCTCTCTTTCTCTCTTTTCCTCTTTCCGTTCCACCTATCACCCACTCTCTTTGTACTTCCATTATTCATCCGTGCTTTTCTCTCTGTGATTCACCCAGACTGCTGTCCCATCCCTTTGACGGCAATTCAATAGCAAAAAAATAGTGCCTTGTCAAGTAAATAACGTCCTGCATTCCAATGATCGAATTATAGATGAACAATCTTTTATGAAATCAATATAAGGGAAAATCACCACCACTATAAGCCATTCATATCTCTTTATCTGCTTTTTCCCCTTTGCTAAATAACATTGGCAGTATTCAAGCTTGATAATATACTCATGAAACATTTTAATTTGTAAAGGTGCTTTTTTTGGTTAGGTTTTTTAAACATGCTGCTGTATTATGCACCTTTATTGTCTTACTTTTCAGTATTTTATTGCAGATAATCTTACATTTTAATGCCTTTAAATGGGTTAGTGTAGTAGGTGAAATCTTATTAGTGAACAACATCAACTAGTCTAAAAATATTGATGCTGCCAGTGTGAAAACATAACAGGGTTTTCAACATTTAAGCCCAATGCTTTCACCATCCACAGTGAAATGTTTAAGTGTCTAGAGTCAAATATAATATATTGCATGAAATAAGCAGGCATGGGCACGTTTTGGGGTCAAAAAACGGCTCTGAAATGAGGCGAGAGGACTGCTTTAAATATTAAATGCTAATATATCACTTTTCGTTCACTTAAAATCTTCCACAAAACCAAAGCGCAAGCTCCATGATGTAACGAAAGATTATTGCTCCAAAATAATGTACACCATACATCCATAACCAGTGCTGGGTAGATTACTTACGAATTGTAGTCTGTTATTAATCACAATTGTAGTCAGTAAAATAATATAGGTTACTTATTGTAGGTAATGTATTCTGAGTACTTTTGGATAACTATTCAGAACTGAATTTGAAAGGATTTTACATGACCATCCTGCATTGTTATTATTATTAAACAAAGGCTAAAAAAGTTAGGACTGCCGCCTCACATCAAGAAGGTTGCTGGTTCGAGTCCTGGCTGGACCATTTGGCATTTCTCTGTGGAGTTTGCATGTTCTCCCTGTCCACAGACAAGCGCTATAGGTGAATTGGATTAACTAAAATGTGTGAATGTGAAAGTGTATGCCAGTTTTCCCAGTTCTGAGTTGCATAAAACATATGCCCGAGTCGGCACAATAGCCTAGTGATTAGCACGCTGACATATGGTGCGGTAGCACTTCAGGGCGTCTCGAGTTCAAATCCCAGTTCAAGAACATTTCCCGACCCTATCCCCCTCTCTCTCTCCCACTTCGCTTCATGTCTGATTACTGTCCTATCTAATAAAGGCCAAAAATAAATCAAATTAAAAAATAAAAAACATATTCTGTTGTGGCGACCCCTAATAAGAGACTAAGCTTAAGGAAAATGAATGAATTAAATTGTAAATAATTTACTGCTACTGTAGGAATACTTTGAAATCATGTAATCCATAGAAAGTGGCTGTAATCTGATTTTAGAATGTAATATAATCAATTATGTTTTTATTTTAATCCTTTTTGTTGGTCTTTTGTATGACATTGCAAATTAAATATTAAGAGGTTAACAGTAATGTATTGTCCATTGTTAATCCCATCCCCTAACCGCTCATTCTTTAACTCAATTAACAAAACAACAATAAATAAATACATAAATACCAAATTAAGTACATTAAATACATAAGAACATGACATCAGAGAATAATAAAATAATTAAAACAATAATAATAATTAAATTAATAGTAATGATGAATTATCCTCTGGGTGCTCTGGTTTCCCCCACAAGTCCAAAGAAATGAGCTATTGATGAATTGGCTAAGCTAAATTGTCTGTAGTGTATGTGTGTGAATGATGTGTGTATTGTATTGATGTTTCCCAGTGATGGGTTGCAGCTGGAAGGTCATTCGCTACATAAAACATATGCTGGATAAATTAGTGTTACATTCCACTGTGGCGACCCCAGATTAAAGGGACTAAGCCGAAAATAAAATTGATGAATTAATAAATAATGAATTTGAAAAAGCCTTCTAATAAAATGGTAAATGTTACAGGTTTCAAGCACCAGGTGTAATAGACAAGCCTTAGATGTAGTCAAGAAAGGAATCCCAAGTCTTATAAAAGGAATCTAGTGAGCCATAGAGTAAGTCTTTTACTGTAAAAAATGTCCTGTACCCACTTGTCATGTGTAGGGTAGAAGTGTGTTTCCACTTTAGAAGAATGGCACGTCTGGCTAAAATTGAGGTAAAGGCAACAACCTTGCTGTCACAGACTGTCAAATCAGGTCCAAGGGATACTCCAAAGAGGGCTAGCAAAGAATCAGGTTCTATATTGATTTTGAGGTCAATTACGTTTTTAAAATTTTGATTACACAATCCAGATTACATGTAATCAGTTACTACCCAGCACTGTCTGTTAGTAACACTTTCAAGGAGGAATGTACATTATTGAGCTTTTATTTTAAAATAAATAAATAAAACGAGGTGAAAATGTAAGCATTTATAAACCCAAATAACATTACAAATTTGATCACAATCATATTTATCTCACCAAAAAAATGAAATGAAATGCATATATCATCTAGTATACTTTGGTGATGTACAATTTATATTTTAACATGAACAAAGATCATCCTATTGTCTACAGTTTTACTGTTAGGCCAAACTACCTATCTTTCCCAACTCTCCCTCCATCAGTTATGACTTGGATTTGTTTTTGTAAATGCTGTTCTTTAAAATCCTGATTGTGAAAACAGTATGTGCTTCAGATATCATAATCAAACGTGTGGGTAAAAGCAATATTTACTCAGTGTCAGCGTGCTATATGAATTATGAATAGAAACTCTTTAATACCACCATACAAAAGCACAGCATGAGTAAACGTGTCTGTCTTTAATATATGACCTGGGATCAGATAACAGTAGATCAATCGCTACAGTAATCCCAGAGCGGACAGATTTAACGGAGAGTATTTGCAAAAATAATAAAACATCAGCTTGAATTGTGAACTCTCCTATTGTCAACACTTGGTCAACTGCACTGATTTACAAAAAAAAAAATGCTCAAGCAGGGTTTTTCTTTTTTCAGCCACCATGCCATTATTTCACTGAGAAGTTCTTGAATTTGTGTTGTAGAATTAGCAATGACATTAGAGTAGTGAGTAGAATTGTGCATCTTCTTATGATGGAGTGTGCTCACAAGTTCGGCTCACAACAAAACCTGAAATTGTGCATTATCATTTTGTGACTTAGTACAGTGTATTGCTTTATGGTGACTTAAAGTTGTACGATGCATCAATATATCACTGTTATTAATTTCAGGACAAAGTCACATTCCGTTTTTTGATGCCAAAATGCAAAGTTAAATGGACTATTTCCTATGTAAGTAAATGGCACCGACAGGCTCACCCTTCACGCTTTCAAGCTAGTCGTTTGAGAGTTTCATTGTTTCATCGTCAGCAAGCGCTTTCCGTCATTTTCTATCCAGTTGTGTAATTGGTATAGTTCATTTGTAAACATTTATTCGTCTGAGAAAGTATATATATATATATTTTAATAATTTCACAAGGTACTTTTTTAACGTCCTGTGCTTTGTGTTTTCATGTTAACTATAGTCTGTAAATGCAGATTAATGTGGATCTTATTCATGAATTCAGTTCGATGGACAACATAACTGTACTGCATGCTGTGTATACATTTGCAGGTTTCTTTTTCCTACAGTATATATCAGCATGAAAAGCTTATTAATTACTTCAAGTGGAACTCTGTCCTGACTATGGATATATGACTAATAAACATTAGTGTTTTGTACTTGGTTTGGCTTTTGTTTTGATTATTTGGATTAGATGGAAAGAGCATACAGATTTATGTTATTCTGTAGTTTAATGCAAAAATGTAAAACTACTATTCAATTCAATTCATCTTTATTTCTATAGTGCTTTTACAATGTAGATCATGTCAACGCAGCTTAACATAGAAGTTCTAGTAAATTGAAATTGTGTCAGTCCAGTTTTCAGAGTTCAGTTCAGTGTGGTTTAAATTTCACTGCTGAAAGTCCAAACACTGAGGAGCAAATCCACCAATGCGCAGCTCCACAAGTCACAAACCAAGCAAGCAAGTGGCGATAGTGGTGAGGAACAAAACTTCACCATGTTGACGAAAGTAAGGGAAAAAAAATTGAGAGAAACCAGACTCAGTTGGGCAAAACCCTTTCACCTCTGGCCAAATTTCTTGTGCAGAGCTGCTGTCTAGGTGCCAGGGGCTGAATAAGGTTAGACGTCCATCACTTGAGATGCTGCAAATGTGACTAGGTCACTGGCGGGTGTTCAGGCTGGCCCATGGGATCCATAAGGAGACTAGTCTGTCACTGGGGTCTTTCAGGAATCAGTCTCATGCTCTCCACTCCTCCATGACCGCCACAGCATCTGCTTGGAATACGGCCTGTTCCAGGGTTATGGAGACTTCTAGAAGTCCTTGCTGGAATCATCTCTTCACAGGACTTGGATCACATCAATGGCGCTGCAATGAAATTACATTGACATGAAATTAAATGTTAATTAACCTGAAATAAAATCATGAGAATACATTTTATGAATTATTAATTATTTAATGAATTAAATAAACAGTCCTAATAAGTGGATACATTAATAGAGTGGGACACATATCCTATAGTAACTTTTTAAATTTAAAACATGAAATGGTCATCTCTTACTGCTGACTAGTTGTTTATCTCTTTTCTTGAATAAAGTTAACACAAATCACAAATATGGGTTTTCGTTAGACCAGCCTATTGTTGGCTTACACTTCTCATGATTTAAACCCATTAGTTTAAGTCTAACAGTAGGGGAGAGTGAAGACAGTTGTAACATGGGGCAGTTGCAACAAACAAGACAAATTACTCCATTCAGTAATGAGCTGGAGTGATGATGTTCATATACTTATTCTCAATTAAATCCTTCTTTAATCTAAGAGAAATCAGCCATGTGACTGTTGCTTCAGTATATAACTCATTAAAAAAAAGTTTTTTTTGAACGTTCATAAAATTTCTCATGCTGTCTAATTGTTTTTGTGAAACATTATTTATTCCCATAATGTAAATCACTGTTTTCTTAGCTGTTTCTTGATCACATTTTCAATGTAGTTTAATTTGAAAAAAATAAATATTATAATTCTTTGATTATTTAATTAATTTTAAAGTTTAAAGAAGTAGTTTAGTAAAGGTTTAGTCTAGATTTTCAGTAAATATATATATTTTTAATATTTTTTTAGGCCTGCATAATTGGTTGTTGCCTGTTCTTTTAACCCAGCAAACAATTTTGTTTAATAGACGTCTAATGCACATCTAAATAGACAGATTGGCTAAAGCAAGGCTAAACTTCGGCTGTTAGTAAAAATCTAATAGACATCTAAGAATATTCCAAAACTAGACTAGTGGTCAAAAAGGACAGATTAAACAGACTTTATGCGTAGTCTTTCTGTTTATTTGATGACTAGTCTAGTTTTGGCTTATTTTTAGACGTCTATTAGTTTTTCACTGAGAGACCAAATTTTGCCTTGTTTTAGCCAAGACGACTATGTTTAGACGTCTATTAGACATCTTTTGAAAACAAAAATGCATGCTGGAAATAGTCTATATTATATGGCCAAGTTTACACGTTTAACAAATTGACATTTTGTCTAGTTAACAAAATTTTTTTAAAAATAAAATCTGATACTTTAGATGTTTTTATTATTACATTTTAATGAATGTTGCAACTATCCCTGTGGGTTGATGCAACTGTCCCCCTGCTCGGGGTCAGTTGTAACATTTGACTTTATCTGTTCAAGGTAAAATTCTGCATATATTATCATATATACATATTACAGCAATGTTAGTGGGTGTCCAATAAACGTGGTTTTATTAAATTAAAAGTTTGTGTTTCCACAAAAAAAAATAAAAAATATCTGAGAAACTTAAGAAAATGCAAAAGATTTTGCAACTGTCCACACTCTCCCCTAATTTATGGCAATTGGAAATGAATTAATAACATTTACAGGGTTTAAAGGCCCTAAGTTGTACATTGTGCTGAGGAGAAAAATGCTGAGGAGACCATGGAAAATCTGAGAACAAACGAACCTCAAGTTAATTTGAGAAAATCATGTTTATTCATATAAAATGTACATAAGTTAAACTGTAGAACAAATGTGTATATTTTTAAAAAGACATTCCAACAAAATGTTGGCATTATTCTGTCATAAATTAGGCTAATCTGATTCCTGATGATCCTCCAGAGCTCGATTAGCGTGTTTGTCAGGGCAGGTTGTCTGTCTCTTTCTGCGTGCACGTCGATTCTTGAACCACACCTAAAATGTGAAACAACATTTTAGTCATTTTAAAATTCACATGGAAGGGCGAAGAGAGAAAGATTATGCCTAAATTAATGAAAGTACTCTGTCTTACCCGCACAGTCTCCTCGCTGAGGCCCGTGTTTTGGGCTAACTCTGCCCGGGTCTCGACGGTCGGGTAGTCGGTAACCGCGAAGAGTCGCTCGAGCTGCTCCGTCTGGTTGTCGGTAAAAACCGTTCGGATTCGACCGCGCGGTCGCTGAGCGATTGTGTGGTAGTGATTCTCAGCTGTTTCACAACCTAGATGCAATTTTACAATGAGTTATAAAAAAACACATTTTATATGGCATTTAAAAATAAAAATTATATGGCATTGTATAAATAGGCCGGTTTTATAACTACAGTATAAAAATCCTGGTTGCCTTATATTTTTAAGCTGAATCAAATTAACCTTATAAATCCATTGAACTTACTAGTTACTACCTGACTTAAAACTGCTTGCATAACTCAGAACATGATTACCTAAGTTTAATAATTACAATATAGGCCTATATTTTACAGTGTAGCATATTTATAAGTAGGCTATAAAATAAATTTCATTGTTTTATATATTTTTTAATAAATTGAAAATGCATACCGGCTACGGCATAAGGCCACGGTTGCCCTGCATAGTAAGTCGACTGGTAGTAGGAGACTGGAACGCAGCAGCAGTACATCCCTGGCCATGATGGACAAGGAAAGTTCACCATCAGTGCTGCACGATCACAGTGACCTCTACATCCTTCTTGGTAGAGCTGGTCCAGCTTTCTCAAGTGCCCCTGGAAATCTTGAGAAGATGCTGGATGATCCACTCCAGGGGATTCTGCTGTTTGCCTGCTGGTGTCTCCTAAGATGTAATCAATGGAGAAGTTTGAAAACTTCTGAGTTGCCATGTTCAAGTGTAGGGGTGCCCAAAAGCTGCGTGAGTATGTAGTACTCTCTCCTCTTGCTCTGTCTCTAAATAATGACATACAACTGGAAAGGTGTATTTGTACTCTCTGTGTCTTTTTAACTGAGGTATTAATGTATTTAATATTGGCCCATTAACACCTCTTTGTAGAAGTGGAAGTCAAAGGAAATTCAGTTTTGAAGATCCACTTTGAAGACCCTGAAACCCTTTCAACATGACACTTCAAATTAACCTGATGATGATTCTGTTTATTGATCACACTTCAACACATTAACCTGGATGCAGTGGGTTAGCAATTCTATACCTTACATTTTTAAAATAGACCATTATTATAATATATATAACTCATGCACTGGTACTACATTATTGGTACATTATTGGTACTGGTACTACATTATTTATTAGTACTTTACATTATTACTATACATAAATATTTTAATTTGTAGGATATAAACAATGTTTTAGGCTACATTAGGCTATAGCTACTGGATAAAGTTGATATTGATTAAGATTATCATAATAGGCTTGCATTATTCATTCATTTTTTCGGCTTAGTCCCTTTATTAATGAGGGGTCGCCACAGCGGAATGAACCGCCAAGCTTGCATCACTGAAAGATAAAAATGGACGAAACTTGTTCAAAGAAATTCGCGCGCTTTGAAATGAAGACGTGTGGAATTGTCCGTTCTTTGAATTTAAAATAGACGAAAGTCATTTCAATGCTTCTATTTAAATAGACTTGTAATGTTTTGATATTATATTCTTTCATTTGATTTAGTTTTAATTCGATAAATTTTTAATAACAGTTTACCTTCGCTTTTATAATTAATGTAATAGCACCAGTGAGTAACTTTCTTTTGAAGAATTCTACAGCAAGGAATTATTTTCCAGTAGCCTAGTCCCAAATAGGTAAATAAATGTCGCCATCTTGTGGTTTCTTATACAAACTTTGATAAAGCTAATAAAAAAATAAAAAATAAAACATTAGGCTACAGACCAGATTTATGGACTAAAATAATGTATGAAACACTTGTAATATAATAACATAATTTATATATTATTTTATATTTTACTGGTATCTTATTTTACTTTCTGCAGTGTCTATAAATATGAATGGCTTAAATAACAAAATGATTAATATATATATAAAAAAAAATTTTAAACAGCACCCAATAACTGCTTTGATTATGATTATATAACAGGATACCATTGAATTGCGTAACCAATCATTTATGTAGGCTGTAGCCTAGTCAATTGTACAAGGGATAAAAGGACTGTATTTATCATAGCATTACAAAAAAGGACTCTGTCTGTGAATAGACTTATTTAAAAGCCTTTAGCGTTACATATGTGCGGCATGCCAATAAATCAGGGTTAACTGAAGATTAAATGATCATGGTTGTTTTAAAGCACAAGCCAGAGCTGTAGCTTATGGACGTCACGAGCGGTCAGTCTGGCATGGCAGAGCGCGCTTTTTACAGAGCAGCAGATTCTCCCAATATAACTCAGCTTACATCATTAATATTCGATTCTTTTTAAGCTACTTGGGCTTACAAAAAATTCACATGAAAATCCCACTGAGCGGATATTAGTTTTGCCTTTTTGCCAAACGAGATCATTTGATAATCTGCAAGACTCACACAGCACATATAGGCTAGTAGGCTATACTAGAATATGAAAAGTGCATTAGTGCGTTTAATGATTGGAAAATAGACATTGCCCCTCTCACCACCCTCATTTAAAATTGATACACCTCTGTTAGTTGGCCAATCAAATCAAATCATTTACCATCAATGCGTCTCTGGTGGCTGAATTAGTGTGACGCTCAGATTTTAATGCAGGGTAAAAAATAGGTAAGATTTAATATTTGACACCTGTTCTACATTAGAAATGTGCATTTTCTATTAGAAATGTAAAACAACAAAAATAATTTGTGAATTTTGTGTCAAAAGCACTAAAGCGCACAGTTACAGTTCTTTAAGTTTTTGTAGGCTACTTCTGAAATGCTATAATTCTTTCAATATGTGGATTTGTTTTGTTGTTCAGTCTTAATTCTTTAAATGTTAAGTGTATATGAGTTCACATCTGTTTTTATGTAGTTATTCTCTTGCATTTTGAACATTTCCAAATGATCAAAGCACAAAGATGAAAGTGTGTCCCATTTTACTAATTAGTCTGTCCCAATATACTCCAAAACTGCTGTAGAATAAATAAAAACAGTCAAAACCCTTAGCAAGAGATACAAGAAATAATGTTCAAAAATTCATAGAGTAGATTTATTGACATTTTGTTTTCTTCATGTAGCCAAATCAATCAGAAAGGACATTTTACTCAACATATTTATTCATTATTTTCCCCTTGGCTTTCATTTCAGAGGTCACCACAGCAGAATGAACTGCCAACGTATCCAGCATATGTTTTACGCATGTGGATGCCGTTTCAGCAGCAACCCAAACTGGGAACCCCCAACAAGTTATTTTATGGTATTTTGAAATGTGAAAGTTTGTACAAAATGAATTTTAAAATACTTTTTATTCATGTTGTTTAAGCTGCATTCTTAAGTTTATATATTCTAAAAAAAACAATAGTTACTATTTTAAATTAAAGGGATTCACCCCAAAAAAAAAAAAATTCTGCCAACACTTACTCACCCTAAATTGTTCCAAACCTGTTTGGGTTTTCTTTTTCTTCTGAAGAAACCTGTATTCATTAATTTCCATAGCATTTATTTTTCTGCAGTCAGTTTATCAGAATACCTTCTTTATTTTTTATTACAATAATTAAAATAATAAAGGTATAAAACCACTTAGAGGAAACTAAATAGAGAATATTTAGTTCATTAGATATATCTCTTTAACTTAGCAAGTAATTCAAACAAATGACATGGACTTACACTGCAAAAACTTTTCTTACTTAGATTTACTTAGATTTACTTTTTGTCTTGTTTCCAGTCCAAATATCTAAAAATTCCTAAATCAAGAAGCATTTTTATCTAGACAAGAAAAACATATTGTCTTGTTTTAGGAAATAATATGCCAAAATAAAGCGAGTTTTTTCTTAAAACAAGCAAAAGTAATCTGCCAATGGAGTAAGAGAAATAATTTTATGTCAAAGAAAAACAAGACTATTTTTATTACCCCATTGGCAGACTAATTTGCTTGTTTAAAGGAAAAACGTACTTTATATTTGCATATTATTTCTGAAAACAAGACATTATGTTTTGCTAGTCTATAAAATGCTTCTAGATCTAAAATCTAAGATAAGCAATTTCTTTTACTTAAAATATACAATTAAATATTGTACAAGTTGAAAAAAATAATTTTTAAATAACCTTGAACATATATTATCATGACTTTCTCATAATATACTTTTACATTGCATTACTCTTGTAAATAAAGATCACTGTTACAGCCCAGCTTTATTGTTCTGTTTACTCTTAATGTATTAAATTCAAACTCTACATTCTATTGAATATGAAATTCAATGCCCTGGCATATCCCCACCCTGCTGGAACAGATCAGTTACACAGATTTAGTTTCAAGATCGAATGAATGATCCTAACAACTTGTAAGCCATTTGATGTAGATCATTCATTAAAAAAGGCAATCCTGTAGATCAAACCGAGATCCCAATTTCAAAAGCAGGATAAAAGAGCACCAACAGTCTTTGTTTAATCACTCGGTATCGTCCACTTCAGCAATCACTCGCACTAAACAAACCTCATTTGCATGAGAAAGGCAACAGTCTGATTCAGAGCGCTGAACTGAATCATATGGTTGACCCATATTCAGTTCTGCGATATGTTTAGAGAACATCCAGTGTGGTTGTATACGCATCCATCTGTACAGCCAGGGTTTGCACAATACCACTGACAAGCACTGATATGATTTGGTCCAACAGGCAATTAACAAATGCATGACCTCCTCCAAACAGAGCTGGATGCTCATTGAGATCCTCCAACTATGCTGCTCTGCCAAATCAAACTGATGTGGGGATGAAATTCAAGCTCCAGTGAGTTGGATAGAAAGTACAAAAAGGGAAGTCGAACTATTCCAATCTGGAACAATCAAGCGAGGGCGTTTTTGAAGGTTACTCCTGGATCTTTTTTCAATGGAGTGCGTTTACTATATTCAACTGGCGTTTGTTTGAATTTGGCATATTTGGGCCACAACAGTTGTAGTTGGTCTCAGAAATAGACCGGGCAGATGGTGCTTGGATTTAAGATTAGCTGAGTCATTCTTTGCTAAGGGAATAAGCCCTGATGGTGAATTATGCATCTGCAAAAAAATAATTTGGGGCTGAAACATGCCTATAATAGTCTAAGGAACAGTTGCTGAAATTGCTCTTTTCATACTAGACTATTTTTTTGTAATCTTACACATTATTCAAGTGCATTGTACACTTAAAAAAATATTCTTTGGATTTACTCAATTTTTTAAGGTAAACACTGTAAAAAATCCAACTTGAAAAAAAGGTTGAAATTACTTGTTGTTTTTTTTTGTTGGTTTGGCAAAAATCTGTAAAAAATGTCTGTACAACTACATTTAACACGTTTACCTAACCTAAATTAAAATTTTCTTCATTCTTTCATTAAGTTAAAAAGATTTGTAAGCAAAATTTTGCAAGCATCATTGCAGTAGTATTTTGTTGTTGTTGTTGTTGTTAAAAATAATGACATTAATGGTATTATTGGTGTTACTATTATTTTTTGTCGTTATTGTTAGAGTTAGAAATACTGTAACCTTTATTTTTTCAAGTGAGGAGGTCTGAGGTTAACTCAACTTAAAGTAACAAGGTGAACTTGCAAAGTTTTGCATATAAAACTAATATGTATATTTTGTATTAACTCCCTCATTTACTGCTAAGCATTGTGATTTGAACATTTCTATATAATACATTGCTTTTATTCCTCTGTGTGTGTGTGCTTTTTTCTCTTCTCCTGAGCTAGTGACAGCCAGGTGAACTACTGTATTAAAGGCCAAGCTTCTTCTTGACTGTTCCAGATGGCTGGAAAAGCAACTCGTATCTCATCCCAGGTAAAAGTGTCTGCATC